CACAGGATTAAAAAATAAAGAGCATTTCTGAGTTAGTTTAAGAGACAGAGCTTGTTCTTGCTTTTCCTTTCTGAATTCCCCAGGACCAGCCCGTTACTGCCTCGATGGGTTTTGATTTTAATTTCTATGGACAGCGAGGAGGCAGGGAACGGTGAGCAGGCACTGCCCCCAGGAGAGCTAGCCTTCCAGCAGGGAGTCCCTGGGGCTTCCCCGGGGCGGCCAAGGCTGGGCTCAGGCTCCCGGTCCCCTGGGTATTCCTAGCTGACCCGTGCAACCCCTTCCCTCTCTGAGCCTCGGTTCCCCAACCTGCAGAACTGGGCTTTCATAGCTCGCCCAGGCCACCGCTGAGGGGCGCTGTAGGGCCCCGAGTGATAACATCTGAGCAAACCATGTCAGGTAGACCCGCTGCCATAATATATTTCTTAGCTCCCATAAGCTCCACCCACGGGCCGCCTCCTGGTAGTCATTAACCGTACCCAGGCCAGGAGCCCCACACCTCAGGGACCTGACCCAGGACAGGTCCACACATGTCTGCTCAATCCACCTGGCCCACCATCTCTGAGCACCTGGCAGGTTGGGGAGGCACTGCAGGGCCTGCTGTTCTCAAGATAGCCTATGCTGGCCACCAAGGAAGTGACCTTGATCCTGAGCCCCAGAACTCTCCAAGGCCCACTCCTGCCCTGTTCCCGAGGCTTCTGCCTGCCCCAGGGCCACTCTCTGCAAGGGCAGCCGTGGCACAGCAGGCGGACGTGTGTCCAGGTGCAGATGCTCGCTCGGCAAGGCGCTCTGCCTCGGTGGGTACAAGGGCCCGGGGAGGGGGTCACTCCCTGTGTGCCACGGCCACAGACCTGCGAAGGAGAGCAGGGGAGTGCTGGATTCTGCAAAGAACCCCCAGCCCGTTTGGAGAGCTCATGGGGCTGGTGGAGAGCCCCCGATGCTGGAAGTCCAGCGGCACCATCGACTTGCTGCGTGGCTCTGGGCAAGTATTTTACTACCCCTCACCCAGGCCTGTGCTCCTCCATCAGCAGAATAGGGGGGGGTGCACCAGAGCCGTTAACACCATTGGGCATTAGAATCACCTGAGGGGCTTAAAGACCACTAATGCCCCAGCCCACACTGAGAAGGTCTAACTTAAATCCAGTGTGAGGTCGGCATATGGGTGGGAGTCACAGCTCTGCAGGTGGTTCTATTGTGAAGCCAAGTTGGCGACCACCGCGCCAGGTTAGGAAGAACACAGCGCGGCACGCGTGCCTCTCCTCCGTGATGGGGCAGGCATTCTCCATCATTCCCTGCACCCTTCCACGAACCCCAGCCGGGCCTCAGAATTGCTGTCCCTGGGTGCTCTGCGGGCCACTAGCAGTGAGTTCCAGGCGGCCTGCAGGGTACAGCCAGCTCACCCTCCCTGCGTGAGACAATAGCTAAGGGACCCTCTGCCTCCAAAACCTGTGGCTCTAGGTTTCCATAAGGAATTGTCTTCTGCAATAATTAAATCCTCAACGACATTTCAGAGCAGAGTCTGTCTTCAGCTTCTTCTGAGATTGGCTGTGTCTACACGCGGAAAGCAGCTGGGAAGGACAGCAGAGGCGTCAGTCCCTGCAGGGAGAGTTAGTGTCCCGATTCCAGGGCGCATCATGGGAGGCCCGCACTGTGCTGAATGCCGTTGTGAGTGTGTGATTTATTCTTTACGTGGGTTCATTTCTCCTCACAATCAATGTGCGTTTCTCCACCCGACTCAGAGGAAGATGGGAGAGTTTGCATCGGGGTCCCCGGAGGTGGGTGTCAGGATAAATCCTGCCCTGCCCTGCCCCCCCCGGCAGTCCTGTGCCCTGGCTGTGGCAGTGGAGATCTGATCTGATCCCAGAGGGCCCGGATGTGGGATGAGCAACCTCATAGGTGCCATCTACCTCCCCGGAGTGTGCCTGGGGCCTCCGCTGCCCTAAAGCCTGAGCATCCGGTGGGCTCTTCTTCCCACAGTCACAGGAGGGGTGCGGGAGTGGGGGCATCGGCAAGGGCAGGTGGTTCTAACAGGGCTGTGACATCAGGAGGACCCATCAGGAGGATTGCGTGCCCTACATTCCCTTCCCTGCTGCCCCATCCTGGGGCCCGACATCTCCTCCCTCAGCCCTCCTGGCCGGGAGGAGGAAGACACCACCTTGGCTGCTTGGACTACGTTCCCAGAGAAACTGTACATGGAGCAGGGCGTGGACAAGGAGGAGAGGTGGAGGAGGAAGCTCCTCTGCTTAGAGTAGCCGAGATGGGGACCCCACTGGGCCCTGGTCACTGGAGGATGACATGAGTGGCCAGAAGTGCAGAGAAAGCCAGGGCCAGGAGCAGGGCGTGGGCACACCACACCCCAGACTTCCCTGACTGCAGGCCAGCGCCGGCCGACAGAGAGAAGGCCAGGCCTGGATGCACGCTGAGATTTCCTACTAGTGAAAAGAAACAGGTGAAATTAATATGAGTTATATACTTTATCATTTCACTATGGAATCGATGTAAAAATCATTAATTATGTATACTTTGTCACGCTAAGTCTCAGAAACGCAGTGTGGTTTTAAACCTACAGCACATCTCAGTTTGGACGGGACATATTTCAAGTGCTACCTAGCCCCGTGTGGCTGGTGGCCCCAGAGGTGGACAGCACCGCTCTAGACCTGGCTCATGTGTCCCTTCTGCTTGGACAGTCCCGTCTGCACAGGCTTGTCCATGAAGCCCCAGCCAGGGGAGCTCACTCCTGCCCCAGAGCCCCTGGATGCTGAGCCTGTCCCACGACATGGTCCTCTGCCTGGGCTGGAGGACTGTTAGGTCAATGTCCCCATTAGGGGGGACCCCTGGGGTTTCCCCAACCCATGCTTCCTCTGCAGGGGCTCTTGAATGCTCTGCAGAGAAGGTGCTGGAGAAATGTGTGCTGAAATGAAATGAGGGTATGTTTGCATATTTTAGGAGATTTTCTTAGGACGGCTTCTTCAAACATTCAAGAAAGCCATGGCGGGAGCCAGCGGTGGGGTGGTACCAGCATGGACCGGGGGGGGGGGGGGCGGGTTTCACACCCCTGTACTTGGTGCCCACGAGGTTTCCTGGGTGTCGATTTCTCTCCCTGTTAAGTTGCTGCTCATCCCCATAAGGGACGAACAGTTTCATGAATGTTCTTAAAAACTCTAAATGCATCAGATCCATTTGGAGGAAGCATATTGACTTGCAAATCTCCCATCCATTTTACTGAAACATTATTTCCTGGGCCCTATTAGAGGGAATCAAGTTGTAATCAAAAAAAGAAAAAAAGGAAAATTTTGTTGGGAAATGAAATTAAGCCAGAGAAAAGTCCAATGGTTTAAAGTCGGCACCGTGTGACCTATCCTGTGAGGGTTCACGTTCAACTCATCGGCCTGCAGCTCCTGGTCCTCTGGGATCTGGGACGAGGCGCCTCTGTGCCTCCCCTTCCTGAGGCACCTTCCCTGCTGGATCCAGTGCCCTGCAGCCAGAGCCACAGCCAGTCCCGGGCAGGCGCCGTGGGTGGCGCTGTCAGTGCTGGAGGGAGGGAGGGAGGGTGAAGACCACAGACATCATCTGCCAGGGCTGTGCCACGTGTTCTCATGGTCCATGTGCTTTAACCCTCACAACACTGCACTCCCTTCTGGAGGCCCAGAGAGGCCAGGTCACTGGTCTAAGGTCACACAGCAGGAGGGGTGGAGCTAGCGCTGGGCCCAGGGAGGCACACTCTAGAGCTATGCTGCTAACCACTCGGCTACTCCACCAACGGAGGAAGTAGCGTGCCACGGAGGACAGGGCAAGGCACCCTAGAGTTGGGCTGTCTGGGGGAGAGAAGTGGGGGCTGGTTGGGGGAAGCAGGGCGCGGTGTCTGCAAGGCCACAGGGCTCCTGGGAGTAGAGGACACTCTCCGGGGCTGCAGAAAGCAGGAGCTGCGGTGGAAGCTGCAACCAACAGGCTTCAGCCCCACACAGGGACAGACAGGAGGAGCAGGCAGCACTGTCCACAGCGCTGCTCCTCCCTGAGACCGGCATGATGCTGGTGACAGCCAGGCGGGGGCTGCCCTTCCAGGCTGGACAGCCGAGGATGTGGGGGGAAGCTGGGGAGCTGGGCTGTGTTTTCGGTCTCTTACTCTCTCTCTCTCTCACACACACACACACACATACACACACACACAACCCTACACAGATCCACCTTTTCAGATTCAGTGACAACTTCCACATCCGCCTCCTAACAGAACATCAAAGTTCTTTTTTTATTGCCAACTTCGCAAATAGTGAAGCCACTTTGAATACAAAGTTGTGGGGATTTTCTTTTCCCTTCAGTTTGCAAAACTGATTGAGCGATGTATTTTTTCTTTTTTTCTGGCTAATATGTGGGGACATGTTGCAGCTTGAGCAGGTTGGCTTGGGAAATGCACGGCCCCGGGGCTGGGGGACTGCACCCAGCTGGCTTGGGGGCTGGGGAGCTGGAGGAGAACGTGACAAGCCTCACAGCCCCTGGCCTGAGAGTGGGAGACCCCCGAGTGGTAGGACAGGTGGCCACCCTGGCTGGGCACAGAGCATGCTCCCTGCACCCTGTGTAGGTGGCAGGTGACTGCTATTGACCATGTCTGGGCTGGGGACGCCTGGGGGCTGGGCTGTCCTGTCCTGCGCTCAGAGGGCAGCAGGTGCCCAACCACTGCCCAACGCTTCCCTCTGTCTCTCTCCCCTCCTCCTTTCCTCTGGGGCCTCCTGGGGTTGGGAGCCCAGGATAAGGGTCACCCTGATGCGATTTGGAAATGGAGTGGGAGAGTCTTTCACATCCTTTGGATCCTGAGTTTAATCCAAATAATCCAGGCTGAAGAGGAAAAGCATGACTCTTCCTTTTCACTAAACCTGCCAGGTTCACCCTCACTCTCCTGACACAGCCCGCGGAAGAACGCGTGGCCGAGGCAGGCCTGACTGAGCAAGGCCCTGGCCCTGCTGTGCTCGTCCAGGCCCCGCCGCACACGCCCCGCTAGTCGCGCTCACCTGGTGATCACGTAGGGCGCAAAGCACACGAGGAAGGTCCCTATGAAGGTGCTGATCTTCTTGGTGGCTCGCTGCCGCCTCCGCTTCTGTTCCTCCAGACACCGTTCCCGCACGCTGCGTGGGAGAGAGGGAGAAGGTGACTGACGGGGCGGCCTGGCGAGGCAGACCCGAGCGCTATGGCCAGACACGGGCAGTGGCCTCTAGCGTGGGAATCGGCTATCGAGCCGGAAAGACCTCAGGTCTGTAGCTGTTGACCTCGGGCAAGCTGAGTGACATTGCTGAGTCTCAAGGTCAGCATCTGTAATATAATAATATACGTTATGTATTTCATGTATGTACCTTAATATTGTATTATATGTAATCTAACGAAACACTGCAAAGGGCTGTTTTGAGAATTAAATGCATAAAGCGCATACATGTGTGAACGCATTCGATGCACAAAACACATACAGCCACTGGCACGGTGCCCAAGTCAGTGCAAATGAACGTTAATGCACTGTTGCGTGCCATTCTGCAGCCTGGGAGCCCCCTCAGTCCCAGGCAAACCAGGGCAATGGTGACCCTAGAGTGCAGTGTGTTTGGCATTATTCTCTACAACAGAGGCCTGTTGGTTTTAATATTAATATATTTCCCTTAAAACTTTCAGTGCAATGATGTGAGATGTGCTGGAGATTCGGTACATGAGCCAGGTGTCCTGAGCCAGCAGAGGACACGCCTCTTGAGATGAGCAGAGCATTCTGGGCATCCCCTAAATACGAGAACTAAATTCATGTACATGACTCATCAACGGGCACCCAGAGTGACAGGGCCTGGGCCCTCCTCCAATTTATGACCCAACAACGTTGTCCGGTTCTCAAGATGCTTTAGAATAACCCTGGTGAGTGAAAGAACTCTGGCTTAGGCATCCTAGTCCCAATTCTGCCCTCATGGCTGTGTGGCCTCAGGGAAGTCACTTAACCTCTCTGAATTTGGTTCTTATTTATCCAAGGGGGATTTCATAATATTTATAACTAGAGCTACCATTCATTGCAGGGACAGACACTTTTCAGGGACAGACATGAATCATCAGCTGTCAGTCCCTTGGGGAAGGACGAGCTTCCTTGAGTCCCCCCTAGTAGGGACTGGAGTCCCTGCTGAGGGGCTGAGGACACAGCTCTCTCCCCAGAAGCAGCAGCCTCCTCACCTGCCACACCAGCTAATCCCTCCCTGAAAACAGGGCCCTGGGGAGTATCTAAAAACAGAGGTTGGTGAGAGCTTTCCAGGTCTTCGGGAAAAATGAACAGGAACATTTCCGTGGCTCTGAAGGAGTGAGGTGGACGGGGTGCAGGCTGGGACGGCCAGTGCCACCCTCTGCGTTGTGAACGTCTACGGGGCAGTCACCGCACTTGCCCCTGTGAGGCTTTGCGTAGCAGGAAAGTTTAAATGGCGAGCACTCTGCAGACCCATTGTTTCTTCGGATCACCCCAGTTCTAAGCTCAACGTCTTACACCCAGAAAACACCTAATAAGTATGTGTTGTAGGAGTTAATAAACACCCCTTAAAAAACATCTCAGGAAAAATAAGACTTAATCATTTTCTTCAAGTGCTTTTCTAAAGAGGTGATAGTAAGCTGGAAATCTGCTCCGAGATGTGTATATTTTTAAAAATGAGCCTTGAAAACCCCGAGCCTATCACACAAAGCACGGACAGTCCGTGGAGGTAAAGCCGTGAGAATGTCTGCTGGCCTGGCCTCGTTTCTTGGCCGATAGCCTATGGGTAGGCATGACGCGCCAGAGCCAGACTTCTAGGTCCAAATCTAGGCACCGGCACTTAATCGCTGTGCAGCCTTTGCAAAGCAAAAAACCCCCCCGGGCCGCAAGGTCAACCGAAGGGCCCAACGAAAAGCAAAAGGCTTAATATACGAAAAGCACCGAGGACAGTGTCTGACTCAGAGCAAGCACTCAATAAATGCTAACCATTATTATTATCCATTCAGCATGCATTTATTGAACGAGCACTATGTTCCAGTATTGCCTTGAACTCCAAAACCACAGAGCGCTCGCCCACTGCAAAACCTCTTCCTGCCGCCTGCACTCTGAGAGAGACAGCTCTAACCAGACTGCATCAGAGGGGCAGGGAGAGTAAACCCGGAGTCAGGAGGGCGGAGATGAGGTCCTGACTCTTGTACTGGCTCTGTGACCCTCGGGGCCTTCAGACACCTGGTGGACACCGGACCTTAACAGCAGCTGGCATGCCGTGGACACGGGGTGTCTGCAGGGTGGATGCCGCATCTGGGGTTTGCACCCGCGTGGCCCGGTCACGTCTCTGCTCCGGGACAGACCAGCTAGACGCCACAGCCACGTACAGTAGGAAAGGTCTACACGTCCACTCACCCCAGCTCACAGGTGAGGAAACTGAGGCTGAAAGAAGAGAGGGACTTGCCCACCCAGAGAGTGGGGTACAGGGGGCTAGCAACCAGTCATTGACTCCCAGCCCAGTGCTTCTGGTGGGGAACCACATCGCTCCTTCCCTGATCTCCCCTGCGAGGGCTCTCCTGCTTTCCAGGTGAGAAGAGGGAGGCGGCAGGAGGTGTGTGAGGCGTGGCCATCCCAGGCTCTGAGGGAAGCAGCTCAGCCCTCTCGCTTACCATGACTATTGTTTCAGCGCAGTATGCGAGCAGCTCGCCTGCTCCCCGAACACCACACTGGAAAACTGCTTTGCACTTGCTGTCATTTCCCCCCAGCCCCGCCACGGCTCTGCAAAACTGAGCTCCTTGAAATCTTGCAGCCCTGCAAGCTGCTGTTTTACTTATTTGCAGATGAGAACACTGAGGGGCCAGAAAGATATACGACATGCCCAAGGGTACTCGGTGAGTTTGGGACACAACCAGGCCTTCTCCTGGGTCTCCTGACTCTGAGTTCTCTGGTGGTTCCCCTAGGCCCCCCCAACCCTGCCTCCCACAGAATCACTGGGTGATGAGCGTTCTCAAACATCCCTGGGCCCGGGGGTGGCGCCCGGAGTCCTTGGACTCTCAGGCAGACTCTGCGGTACAGAGGGTGAGAGGCCCAAAGCTGCCCCAAGAAAACCTTGCCAGGTGCGTTCAGCCAGAGTGTGCTCGTGTGTGCTGGCGGGGTGGGGGGCGGCTCCCAAGGCTGTGACAGTCAGGACAGTTTCCTTGAGACAAAAGAAGACAGGCTCTCCAGTACCGTGCATGTGGGTGGAAGAGATGACCCCAGTGGGCTTCAGGTACACAGGGCAAAGGGGATGGTGAATTCTGGGAACATCTGAAAAGTCAATGAGCGAGGTGATCTCAGCTAAAACCTCCCAGGCATAGACAGCTCCCTGCCCTCTGTGAGGGGTCAGGGTCCAGAATGATGTCCAGGTGACTGCAGTCCATGCAGAGCCCATGCTCTGAGCACTCAGGGGACCCGGATTTGTTTTCTGGCTTTTAAGGCAAGACAACAAACTGACGATGGTGGGTCAGGACAGTGGTGTGAGCAGTCCTGTCCTCGAATTCAGTGAGAGGGGTCCCTGGGCCCTATGCATAAAGGGGTCCACACCTCCCCCCACAAAATGAAGAGTTCATAGGGCTAAGGGGTTGTGCCCACCCAGAGCCCCCACCTTCCATTCTAGATCACATTTTAAGTGCCTGAAACACAGGATTCTTTGCTCAAATGCCCTCATCCTGCTACCAAAACATGTACAGGCGTCTCCCCGGGTCCCATTCTCTGAGGGTGGAATATGCCACTTGTGCTCGTGGCTCCAGGCCTGCGGGGTGGTGTCTGTGAGCAATGTGTGCGTGGAGAGCAAATGCACAACTGCAACGTGCACCTCGTGCGAGGGAGGCTTGCAGTGCTGTGTAGTCAGGGCTTGGGCGGCGAGGCGGGTGGGCCAGCGCTGCAATCCCCGCATGCACAGGGCTGACTCCCAAAGAGCCCGAGAATTCTGAATTTGAACCCAGCCTTGCAGGTCATTTTAAAGGTATACTTGCCAAGGCAGGAGCGTGGAACATATTTAACAGTTTGTGAGCTTAATCTAGACCTAGATATCTAGGGATGGTTTGTGAGCCTCCAATTGCACTGTTGCCCCATCCATAAACCTGAGGGGCAGACCCGGGCGTGGGAATTGGCTTGAGCCACTTTCTAGATCTGTTGGATTAGGCAAGGGCCGCTCTTCCCTGGTCTCCCAATTCCCTCACGTGTAAAGTCAAGGGCACAGTGAAGTCCTCATCTGCTACGTCACAATTCTGACACCCTCCAGAGTCGGCAGTCAGCCAACACCTACGGACATTGTTCCCGGGATGTCAAGGAGACGCCGGGAGGTCTGGCAGAGCCTCAGGGGTCCCTGGAGGAAGCTCCAGTGAGGCTGGGCATGACTTTCGTGTTGAGTCCCTTTCATCAACACTCTGCTCTGTTAAATCACTAACCAAGCTGGTGAGCGGGGACCTCAGCCAGACGGGGGAGCACAGGGCCCTGCCTCCCTTCCCCGGCGCCCACCTGCTCCGCCCCGCCTGGCAGCCCCAGCGAGGGCCTGGCTATGACTGGTCCCAAGTGTGATTTGGGAGGACCGAACGTGTGCATGGAGCAGGTGGAGGACCAGGTGTGTAACAGCTGTGAGAACCTCTAAACCGCTTCCGAAACGTAGTAACCCAAGAAAGCACCACAGAAAGGCGGGCGTGAGGAACGCCTCTCAGGGCTTAATTAAGAAGAGGGGGTCCCTGAGGTTTGGGAGGTGGTCGAAGCAAAGGGGTGAAGCCTGCTACACACCGTGTTGTACATCCTGCAGGAAGAGCAGACACCAACAGAGAGCTTCCTGACAAATGCCCCCCTGGATCTCCAAAACAGGTCCCTTTTAATTAAGTCCCAGGAGACCATCAGTGTGGTGGCTGATAAAACTGTCAGTGAGCAAAGACTCCACCTGCTTCCTGGCTGTCCGGAGGGACAAGCCGGCTTTCGCTGCCCCAGGACCAGCACCGCTGAGTCCCACAGGCTCTCAGCACGAAATGGCCAGGAGGCTTAGTACCCGAGGCTGGGGCCACCGGGGCAGCCCCTGAGCGAGCTCTGCACTTGCTCATTTGTGGGGAGGAAGAGTTTGGAGCTGCCATGATAGAAGTCTGTGGACTAGCTGTCCCTCCCATGTGGCTGATCCTCCCCACTAGGTGGGGATCAGCCCCTCAGAGAAGGGCAAGTTTGTTTTCACCAAAGGGGCAGGGCTGTCACACTGGCCACTATTCTACAACCTCAGGGAGCTCTAGCCAAGGCAGCCCCTGCCCCAGAAGCCCTTCCACTATCCAAAGACTGCCTGGAGGCCCCCAAAGTGCTGAGAGCAGGGGCTTCTCAAAGCATCCTGGGGCCGAGAAGAGGTCAATGTCCTCCCAGAGGGATCGGGGAGGAGACTGGAGGTGAGCTGAGCAGCTGCCTCTGCTCCTGAGACCCTGGGACCCCGATCTGGCATCTGGCATGGAGTCAGCGAGAGGAATTTGCAAGAGTGGAGCCGGCCCTACACCCCAAAGCGGCTGAGAAGGAACACGGCCCCTCCTTTTCTGGAAGTTGGAGGAAGAGCAGGGATGAGGTTTGTACTGGCCTAAGAAAGAACTGATTCCTCTCCCAGCTCAACACTCCTCCAATGTTAGACTCATGGTAAGAGACTCCACTGTAGGAATCACTGACGACCTAGGAGTTAACGACACTGCCCTGCACCTTCTAAGAGCAGTCCCAGCCCAAGTCCTAGCGATGCACCCTCCAAAGGGTGCCACCCCTAGGTGATGGGAAGGGGAATAGCTCTGTAACTGCAGCTGCAAGTATTTCCTTTGATGACAATGAACCACGCACGGATACGTGCAGTGAGAGCCGATGCATGTCTTTGTGTCAGAGTGTAAGCACGCCACTCTGACATGCCTGTGTACCCGTGTACATGTGGCCAGCTGTCTGGTACACATACAGGTCATACATGAACACAGGACATTGTGTGTGGAGCTCCCACACTTACATGCCCTGGTGTCTATGTGCTCAGTCATTCGCATGTACATTTTGTATGTGATTCTGTGAGGAAGATTCTGTGGCTAGAAGATTGGTCCAGTGTGTCATCAGGAATGGCTGTTCAGAGGGGGGCAATGAACACATGCCTGCATATCCTTCTACATGCAGGATAGTGAAGTTCAAGCACTGCTTGTTATTGATTACATGCAGGAAAAACTCAGAAGTGAAGGAGCCCTAGCTCAGACTGACACCTCCAGTCTGTCCCCTTCAGCCCTGGAGGGGGACATACACACCCTAGCAATGCACCAAGCTCTCTCCTCCACCCCAGGCTCCCTGGGTTCCCAGGGTTTTCTGCTCACATGGAAGGCCCTAGCCTCCCCTCCTGGTGCTCTGGGCTTGCCTTGCCTTCCATACCGTCTGGACCAGGGCCCCTTATCTAGGGCCCCAGGGTGACAGAGGGGAACCTGCCCTTCCCTGGGACAACAGGATATAAAATAGCAGAGTCCACACAGACACCACCAGCCATTTTCCTCCTCACTTTCCTGTTCTCCTGAGGAAAGCCGAGGTGAGCTCAGGACAGCTCAGCTAAGAGTCCCCTCCTTCTCTTCCTGAGAGACTCCTGTGGCAGGGGTTGACAGCAGGGGTTCCCAGCAGGCACTCACGCTCTGCCTCCAAATGCCTTCCTGAGACATAGCAGACAGCGCAAGGATGGAGGTTGCAGGGCAGGTTTAGTCCCAGGAGCCTCAGGGTGACGCTCCTTCTTCTGGGGCTCCTGGGCACCAAGCGTGAGAGACACCGGACAGTGCTCTCTGGGGAGGACAGAAATGCCTGAGCTATGCAAGCCGTCACCGAGTCCATCTGGATTCACACAGGGTCGAGACAGGCAGCGCCAGACACCAGAGAGCAGACCCGGGGAAGCATTAGCTGTGGTTTGAAGAGCTCTTAAGGAGCGTCCGAAGCATCAAGGCCACCCTCTCATCGAGCCCTGATCAAATCTTTCAAATGTCTTAAACAGTGAACAAGAACCACTGCTTTCCCAAAACTACAAACACATAAAATGAGTATAAGGAAGCTCAAAGTTCTGACTCTCTGTGACTTCCACCCTGAGCTTAGATGGTTTGTCCACATTTCCAGTGGCCTTGCTTTGCTGATGCTCTAAGGGCCCACTTAAGCCCCACGGCCACGGCCACTCTCCCCTTCGTCTTCCAAAGAGGAAACAGGCTGGGTGGAAAGGAACTTGCCCAAGGCTGAACACCCAGGCGGGTGCTCTCCCACCCCCATGCCCACCCCCATGCCCACTGCCACGTCACCAGGTCCCCCTCGACATTCCCAGAGCCCTCACCCAGGGCTCCCCTCACCTAGGGTGGATGTCCACGAGCAGCACGAGCGTCTGCATGGTGATCACGTCGATGCGCTTGCAGTGGAAGCGGGCCACCTTGAGCACCTTGAGGTACGTGCAGCAGAGCACGACGAAGGAGAGCAGGAAGCTGAGCGCGTGGAAGGCGCCGGTGAAGACGGCGAAGCGCAGGCGCTCGTCGGGCCTCCGGCTGCACAGCGTGCACGAGGCGTACAGCTGGTGGAAGCCGAGCCACGACAGGGCGAGCGCGGCGGCGGGGAAGGTGAGCGCGTGCAGCCACGTGTAGGCCACCATGAGCGCAGCGTCGCGGAGGCGCATCTTGGCCCGGTAGCTCAGCGGGAAGACCACGGCCACCCAGCGGTCGATGCTGAGCGCCGCCATGCTGAGCATGGAGTTGGCGGCCAGGAAGGTGTCGAGGAAGGCGGCCAGGCGGCACAGACGGTCGCCCGCTGGCTGCCGCTGCGCCACGACGCCGGCCAGCGTGAGCGGCATGTTGACCACGGTGCACAGCAGGTTGCCGCACGTGAGGTTCAGGGTGAAGAGCGCCGGCGCCTGGCGGCGGATGTCGGCGCTGTGCAGCAGGCACAGCAGCACCAGCGCGTTGGACAGCAGCGAGACGCCCATCGTGCCCACCAGCAGCCCCGCCAGGCCCGCGTCCCACGAGTTCATGGTGCGCGCCCCCCGCCGGCGCTCAGGGCCCGCAACCGGCGGCCGGCTCAGCCCCTCGGAGCCGCCGCCCGGCGCGCCCCGGTCCCCGTCGCCATGGTCCGCAGGGGCGCGCGGCAGACTGGAGCCCCGGCCACCTCCTGGGCAGGCACCTGGTCGCGCGGCCGCCCCTGAGCCCCGCAGCACCTCTCCGGCCAGCGCCGGAGTGCCCGGAGCGCCCGAGCCGGGAGCGCCCTCGGGTCCTGGACTGCGGGCACCGGCGGCCTCCGCGCTGTCTCTGCCGATGCTTCCTCCCGCCCTCACCCCATCCCTCCCAGCTCGGGCTGTCTGTGCTCCGCTCGCGCGACCGCTCTCCGGCTTCCTCTCTCCCTCTCCGGGCTCCGCTCCGCTCTGGCTCGCTCTCCCTCTCTGCTCTCCCCGCCACCTCTCCCTCTCCCCGCCCCCCGCGCCTTCTCTCCGTCTGTCTCTCCCACCCCCAATTCTCTCCTCCCCTCTTGTTCTTCCCCCTCCTCTTCTCTCTTTCTCTCTCTCTGGAATCTGGCTGCCTCTATCACAGAAATCCCCACTGATGCGCGCGCACTCACCCAGGAGCCGGCGCGCGCGCACACACACTCACACACACACACACACACACACACACACACACACACACACACACTCTCACATATTCGGAGGGAACCAGCCCTGAAGGCTCCCGTGTGCTGCAGGGTGATTGGCTCCCTGTGGCTGCTCGACCGTCCTCCCCGGTGTGTGTCAAAGACAGGTTGAGTCCAGGAAATCTCTGAGGAAAGGGACGGATGCCTGGGCACCTTCACGCCTCAGCGCCACCTGTCCCAGTCCAGCCAGATCTTGAAGTGGCAGTCTTAGGCTGCCTGTCCCACAGCTGAGCTTCCCAGGGCTGATGCACCTCCCTCTCTGGGCTGAGCTGGGGGAGCTCAGGTAGGCTCCTTTTGCTGAGGGGGAAGGAGCCCACATCTCTGTCTTGCATGTTCAAGGGTGTGGCCTCAGATGTCTCCTGAGACCTCCCCAGCCCATCCTAAGAACAGCTGCTGCCTTCCTGGGGACACTCGGTTCACAGTGCCTTCTTCCCAGCACCCTCCAGCTGGACCTTCAGCAGCATCCTCAGGTTTGCCTCAGGGACGCTGAGGTTCTCTGTGGCACCCTTTGGGTGTCCTCCTAGCCGGGAGAGGCCTTTATCTGACCGTAAGTGACCCTGGCCGGGCAGGCCTGCCTGTCCACAGCCAGCCTCGGCAGCAGTCCGAATTCCTGCTGCTGCCTTCTCACAGTCCCGAAGCCTGCACGCCCATCCGCCCTGGGGCTGGCAAGGTGACAGGTTCGAGGTTACGAGGGACCTGCACGACATAACGTGCCAGAGCTCTTCAGAAAATGGGGAGGGTGCCGGCTGGCAGGCTTGGTCCAGGCCACAGGGACCGAGCACACAGGGTCTCAGCCTCCCCTCAGGAAAGTGTGCAGAGCCCTCCTTCTGTCCCTGATCAAGACCCTGCAGGGAAGGCATGGGGATGGACAGATAGGTGGCAGCCCTCAGAGCCCTTAAGCCCCCTTCACCTCTGTGAGATGCCACCTCCGCCCTGAGCACAGACAGCCCCATCCTGGAGCCTCACGGTGTGGCCAGTGGTGACTGAACATTATCGGGTCGCAATCTACTAGATAAAAGAAGCCAAAGCAAGGACAGTGTCCCTAAGGAAACTGTTGACTCTACCCCTCGAAGGTAGAGACCTCATCACGATCCCCCCTCATATCGTACCAAGCAGTGACAGAAGCTCATGAAGTGAGGCATCAGGAGGGCAGGGGAAAATAAGCCCTGTCCCCTCTGTGTGTCCACAGGTGACACTCATTAACAGTCATCTGCGTGACTCACAGCTGCATGCAGTGAGGTGCTGGAGCTCACACCAGCTCTCAAGGTCCCACTGTGGCATCTGTCTCCAGCTCTGTTCCAATGACAGCACATTGGTGGCTTGAAATCCACCATGGTGTGTTCTTGCACCATAGAATCAGCAAACTCAAAATCAGGGCTCCCCTTCCCCAGCCTCTGGCTAAACATTTACCAGCACACCACTCACTGACTCCAGAGGACCCCAGGCAAGGTACGTAAACTCCCCGGGCCTCAGTTTCCTTATTTACCTTTCAGTGCTGTGGCGAACAGTCGGTAAGATAACATGTATGTGGAACTTTGCTTCCCAGAGAAGGAAACAGAACAGAACGCCAGCAACCTCCTCACCCCTCGACCCTTTGGGTACCTACAGATTTCAGGGCTGGCTATATGTCTCCGTTAGATACTTGGGGTATGACATTAGAGTACACTGTTCACCTGTGTGTCTGCCCTGTTCCCAAAAAGTGCTCCCCCAAATAGCCGCTGGCGTGACATAGGTGCCTGCTAGGGTTTGAGTGTGTCTCCCAAAGTTCATGCGTTGGAAACTCGATTCCCAGTGTGGCAGTGTTGGGAGCTAGTCCCACAGTGGGAGGTGTGTGAGTCCTGGGAGCGCTGCCTTGATGAATGGATTGATGCCATTATCATGGGAGTGGGTTCCTTATGAAAGGATGTTTGGCCCCTTTTTTCCTCTCTCTCTCTCTCTCTCTCTCTCTCTCTCTCTGTTCCTCTGTGCCCTTCCACCTTCCACCTTGGGATGATGCGGCAAGAAAGCCCTTAACAGATACCAGCCCCCGTCTTGAACTTCGCAGCCTCCAGAACCATGAGTCAATAAATTTCTGTTTATTATAAATTCCCAAGTCTTGGATATCCTGTTACAGCAGCACAAAACAGACTAAGACAGTGCCCATGTACTTTTGTTGAGTAAATGAACCAGTATGTTTTGGGTGCACCATTGGATCTGTGATTCTTACACTTTGGTGCTTATCACAGTAACCAGGTAAGCCTGGGGTGCTGGATAAAGATTTAGATCCTCGGGGTTTCCAAATCAATCAAAGGGTCTGGAGGTCTGCATTTTTTGTGAGCTCCTTAGGTGACTCTGATGAGGGTGGTCCATGGTCATGCTCTGAGGAGCCTGCTCTACGATAAGTGGTCAGAGTGACAGCTGGATCCCTAACCATCCCCTGGCACCTGCTCCAACAAGGGCCTGATGTTCTGGCCTGGAGGCAATCACTGAAAAATGTGCACAAACCAGTGTTTGTAAAAGCACAGAATGGAAAGCGTTAATTAATATTCTCATAGCACATTGGAGTTTACACAGCATGTCTGAACATTATCGCACTATATTTAATTCTTGCAACAGTGACAGGAAGAAGAGTGTATCACTGCCCACATTTTAGAGATGAGGACACAGGGGCTCAAAGAGGTTAGGTGACAGAGTTGGTGAGAAATGAAGCTGGTACCTCTAGCTCCATGGCTTGGCTCTTTCAGCGTATTCCACTGGTCCTCAGCCACTTTCTCTAGAGAGTGTTCTTGGTCTGGAACTTTAAAATATCTCAACTTTGCAACACCAAAATTATGCTGGTGACCTGGTAACTAAGTCCAATAGCAATAAACCAATGAACACACATTATTTCAAAAATCATTTGCTTTCTGAATTCCTTCTTCCTTCCTTTTTTTTTTTTTTTTTTTGACATGGTCTTGCTTTATTGCCTGGGCTAGAATGCAGTGGCATCATCATAGCTCACTGCAGCCTCAAACTCCTGGCCTCCAGTGATCCTCCTGCCTCAGCCTCCCAAATAGCTGAGACTACAGGTGTGTACCACCACACCCAGCTAATTTCTCTATTTTATGTGGAGATGGGGCTTCACTATGTTGCTCAGGCTGGTTTTGAACTCCTGGCCTCAAGTGGTCCTCCCGTCTTGGCCTCCCAATGTCCTTAAGATTACAGGCATGAGCCACTGCACCCAGCCTGCTTTCTGAATTCCTAAAGACAACACTGAAAGGTTAAAATGCTGGAAAGACACTCAGAGTATCATAACTCAGTCTTCTAAAGAACAGAAGCTTATTTTCTTCTGATTTTGAACAAAATGTCCTGCTCTCAGATGGGCCGATCTCCATAGTGACGTGTCTCCAGCCCCCCGGCTGCAGTAAGGCTGAGCCTCACTGAGCACAGGTTCCAGTGTGGTCCAGACTCCAGCAGTGAGATCACACTCATCAGGGAAGGGAGATGCATGTGTCTATCCACATTGACACAGGTCCCCACTGCCCCTTTGTGAAAGGACTCAAGAATCCAGCCACCTGATCAGAGGCAACAAGGCCTGGAATGTGGCTGCCAGGAGAACACGCTGTGGCCAGATCTGCATGTCGTGCTCCTTGGAGTGGGAGAAAAGTCAGCAGTGGTGGAATGTGCGTGACGGAGTTAACGTGAGTCATTAAATGCTGTAACTGGGCCCCGAGGGAGAGCTCAACAACAGGACTACGTAGAGGCAGGCGGGGGCGCCTGTCATTGCCCGTCCTGCGGCAGCCTTCTGGTGTAGATATCCTGATTCCATCTTGACAAATGAAGGAGCTGAGACCCAGAAAGGTCGAAATCTGTTCAAGGTCACTCTAAGCAGACATCAATAGATAGGATAAAATAAATTGGTTAAGATGGCAGAGTCAGGATTCGAGTCCTCATCTATTGGACATTAAAACCTTTCCCCTGAGCCACTGTGTTCATCCCATGCATGTGTTTGAATGCACACTCCACTGAGAGGTTGGAGACTACAGTGGTCCTTTCCACGCTATCTTTAGGAAGAGATGAAATATTGCTGTAAACTGAACAGAAACCAGAATGTCACCAAGGGAGGTCCTGTAAAGATGCCATGGACACACACAGCACATCCTTTGGGGGACTGTGGATTTCTGCAAGTGGAGGGGGCCAAGCATCTGGCATCCTGTGGGGGAGAAGATGCCTGAGCAAATGCCTAGAGGCTGAAGCCTGGCACGTAACTGTGGCTCAGGAGCAGAAGGTGGACCCGCAGAAAGGCAGGAAGGAAAGGCAATGGCAAATTCTGGATGCCAGCCGGACGCAAGGCTGAGGAACAGAAAGGTCAGTCCCATCCAGACAATGGCTCTCAGGACCTGGAGCATCCACCCATCCT